CCGGCTAACTATTTATCAGGGCGGTGGTCCGTCGAAGCCTTTGCTGTGTGCCTGTGACCGCTGGACCTGTTTAGTACAACCGATATGTTTCCGGGGCGTCCTGGGCGGTTGCACTTGGGAGGCCACCGACGCACGACGGATTCGCTCGAGCACCAGATTCGAAAGTGAGGTTTCTATGTTTTGGTGGGTGCAGGCAGGCCTTTCAACCGCTATTTTGTCGACCTTCCGCGCGTGGCCTATTCGCGCCCCATGCAAACCGATGTGCTCCGAGGACTGAAAAGTACCACATTCCATCCTGACCCTTTCTTTCTATTCTCCAAGACGGCCCAGGAGGCGCCCAATTGGGGGGCCATCGTTGGCCATATGGGTCACGCGTATCCCGAAAAAGGGCGCTCTTGGCTTCTGGATGTCACGCGAGCCATCCCCAGAAGCGGTCAAGAGCGCCCGGAACTCTGGGGTGTGGGCCTCTCCAAGAGTAGTTGCAGTATTTTACACATGGAATTCGAAGGGACCTGAAGACATTCGAACACGTACCTCAGGGTACGGTGGCGGGTGTATGTGTGTATCCATTCGACTAACACACATCATGCACATCGAGGTGCTGCAAACACGCGCGCGCTCTGCGCACACCTAGGCTCTAGCAATCACCCGCTCTTGGCATACCGACTACTGCAAGCTTGTAAGCACATACCCAATACATGAAGTGACCATGACCGAACGTTTACACATTACCGACAGAGTTGCGCCTACTCAAATTCAAAGCGACGCAATGCAAAACATTGCAAAACCCAAAAATAAATTCAATGATTCGCAGTACAGTGCAGGCCAAGAAGCGTTAGCATGTGATGCGGAAGTAGCGACAGCCCATCTTAAAGCAGAGGGGCAACACATGCCAAGGAATAGCTAGCAAAGCAATTGCAAGGCAACGCGATGCAGCGCAAATCGTGGCAAAGCATTCCAATAGAAAAGAATACGTTGCTAAGCATCAGTCAGCAGCGCGTAACCAAGCAAGACAATGAACTGTGATCGAATGCCAGAAATCAGACGAATTCGACAACCCAGGGGGCGCGGAGCTCGGACAGCGCAGGGACGAGGAATCCGACGGAAGAATCATGGGAACCTGGGCTGGAGGTCGGAAGTGCCGCCGGGTCCCCTGCACAGAGGACGAGTTTGTGCACAGAGTAAGGGCTAGAGGGAAAGGGCTAGAGGGGAAGGGCTAGAGAGGAAGGACTAGAGAGGGACGGGCTAGGTCGCTCGGCGTCATTCCCAGTGATCTTCGGTCCATCCTGCCACCGTGCCTGCCTTACGGGTCAGAGCTCCTTTGAAGCCTGTCGGGGTCACTAGGGAATCCCTGGGGAGCCCCTGGGCGGCAGTTTTGGAGCCTATCGGGACCTCTTGGGTGCCAATTGGGGTTCCCTGAGCGCCTCCGTGGGGCATCTTGTGGGCCTGTTGGGTCCTCTTGGGTAGTTCTTGGGGGCTTCGTGGTAGCATCCGAGGTCCTTTTTGGGCGGAGGGCCCGAACTGTCAGTTCGAGCTCCCCGTCACGGATTTTTCCTGGGGCTCTCTTGGGGCGTTCGTGGGCCGTCTTGGGGGCATCTTGGGCTGTCTTGGGGCGTTCTTGAGCCGTCTGGTGACTGTCGTGGGGGGGCCTCTTTGGCTAAATTCTTAGGGGATCTAGAAGATCTTGGCGGTCTATTGGGCCGTCCTGGACGCCGCGAAAACCAGACAAGCGAGAATGCAAAAATGCACGTTGTCCGCAGGAAGGTGACGATTCTTGCCTCTTGGGGCCCTCTTGCGGGTCCTCTTGCAACTGTCTTGGAGCGTCTTGCAAGGCACGTGTGCCGTCGTGAAGTTATCTAAGGCCGTCCAGAGGCCACGCTGGGCACCTTGAAGCCTTTTGGTTTCTCTGTGGCGCCACTTGAGACCACCTTTGCGGCCGTTGGGCGTCCTTTGAGGCCGCCCAGGACGCCGCTTGAGCCCCCCGGACCCCCGGGGGTAAAGTTTGACGCCGGGGGCGGGGGGGGAAGTGTGCTGCCCCTGGGGCCGGGGACCCCGACGCCAGTTACATGTATGTGCATATACGCATCATACATACACTCTGCCGCCCAGCCGGCCGATGGCCCCCGCATCCAGGACGTTCCATCCAAACAGCCAAGAGCAAGATCAAGTCGGCATGCTTCCCTTCGTAGGTTTGGTCGTCGACCCCCAATCCCCGAGCTCCGACCGAAAAGTCTGGCCGTTCAGGAAAAAGTCGAGCAGTGGCGAAGCGTCCTGGCTCGCCTATAGGCCTAAGCCATGTTCTCAGAACCTCCTGTGGTTCCCACGAAAGGTTCTTAGAACATTTCTGGATGGGGACTGTCTTGTGTTATCGCATCGGGTTAAGATTTCTCAGAACATGCCCTGGGTTCCGAGAACGTTGTTGGGGTTCTGAGAACATTTTTTGGTTGGACTATAGGAATGCCGGGACGTTCGGTCCCTGCTCAAACATTTGTTTCCTTCCCGGGCTCGTCGACACCAGAGCCGCGCGCGAGCGGGCAAAATGCCGCCCTCGCCTCGGCGCCACGCGCACGCCGTCGCTCGCCAAAGTCGTTGGGGGCCGGGGCCGTGCGCGGGCGGGCGACGGGTCGCTCTCGCCTAAAACTCGCGCAGGCTTCAGCTAGAAGTGGCGTTCCCTTCGGTGGCAGGCCATGGGAGTCTCGCGTGTCCTCTCTAAATTCCATCTTTGGCGTCGATTGGCGTCGAATAGCGTCTGGCAGTCCTGGGATGGCGCCGATGGAGCGTCGGCTAGCGTCCGTGATCGTCGGCTTCGCGTCGCCTGGTGTCGATTCAGACGTCGACCCGCGTCGACTCGCCAGAGCAGAAGAGATGGTATGGGATGCTCCCGTGAGTTGCCGCCGGACGTTCCCGCCCCAGCGCGGCGCACGTTGTCCGGCGGCCGCGTGGCAGGCGCGTGGGCAGCGGGCGCGGGGCCGCGCGGGGGAGCGGGGGCAGCGCGGCGTGCGTCCGAGCCTCGGGGCAGATGCCGCGTGCAAGTGGCAGTGCTGCCTCGGCGCGGCGCCTGCCTCGTCTTCGCCGCGTCCGTGGAGACGTTTCGGGGGCCACGTGCGAACCCCCCCCCTACCCCCCCCCCACGGTTTCTGAGAGGGGGAGTGTGGGGTAGGGTTCGCATGTGGCCCCCGAACGTTGGCCCCGCGAAGGAAGGCCAAGTGGTGCTCTCGCCGCAGCGCCGGGCACGCTCGTGCGCGGCCCGTTTCCCCCCCCCCCCCCACGCCTTGAGGGTTTCTCAGAAGGGCTTAGTCGACCCGTCCTCCTCCTCTCTCAACCTCCTCCGCCTCCCTCCTCCTCCTCCTCCTCCTCCTCCTCCTCCTCCTCCTCCTCCTCCCCCTCCTCCTCCTCCTCTCCTCCTCCTCTCTCCTCCTCCTCCTCCTCCTCCTCCTCCTCCTCCCTCCTCCTCCTCCTCCTCCTCCTCCTCCTCCTCCTCCTCCTTCTTCCTCCGCCTCCTCCTCCCTCCTCCTCCCTCCTCTCCCTCACTCCTCCCCCCCCTCCTCCTCCTCCTCTCCTCCTGCTCCTCTCTCCTCCTCTCATCCTCCTCTCATCCTCCTCCTCCTCCTCCTCCTCCTCCGCCTCCTCCTCCTCATCCTCCTCCTCTCTCTTCTCCTCCTCCGCCTCCTTCTCCTCCTCCTCCTCCTCCTCCTCCTCCTCATCTCCTCCTCATCCTCCTCCTCCTCTCCTCCTTCCTCCTCCCCTCCTCCTCCTCCTCCTCTCCTCCTCCTCCTCTCCTCCCCTCATCCTCCTCCTCCTCCTCCTCCTCATCCTCCTCCTCCTCCCCCTCCTCCTCCTCCTCCTCCTCCTCCTCCTCCTCCTCCTCTCTCCTCCTCCTCTCTCCTCCTCCTCCTCCTCCTCCTCTCCTCCTCCTCCCTCCTCCTCCTCCTCCTCCTCCTCCTCATCCATCCTCCTCCTCCTCCTCCTCCTTCTCTCCTCCTCCTCCTCCTCTCTCCTCTCTCGTGCCGAACGAAAGGGGGGATAGGGAAAGGGGGGTTTACAAAATCTGCTGCATGCAGCTGGTTTCGGCCCCTCCGCCGGGCCCATCCCTCGATACATGGCCGCCTCCAGCGCCCAGAGGCGCCGGTAAAATCAGCTACGTGAGCCGATTCTCAAACACACCCTTTGCTATCCCCCCCTTTCGCCCGGCCCGATCCTCCTCCTCCTCCTCCTCCTCCTCCTCCTCCTCGTCGTCCTTCCTCCTTCGCCTTCCCCTCCACCCTCTCCTCCTCCTCCTCTCCCTCCTCCTCCTCCTCCCCCTCCACCTCCTCCTCCTCCTCCTCCTCCTCCTCCTCCTCCTCCTCCTCCTCGGGTCGCCTACGGACCCGGGGAAAACCGTGCACCCCCGCCTCGCCATGTCGTCGGAAGCAGAACCTGGCACGAGCGCGTTCCGCTCGGCTCGGGGGAGCGCCCACCAGCCTCGAGTCGGGCCTGTCCCTCTGCAGGAGTGAAGAGCAAGAGAGGAGGAGGAGGAGGAGGAGGAGGAGGAGGAGGAGGAGGAGGAGGAGGAGAAGGGGGAGCAGAAGGAGGAGGAGGAGGAGGAGGAGGCGGAGGAGGAGGAGGAGGAGTGAAAGCAGCCTTGGGAAATAGTACAACATAGCCCGGGGACGATGTTTGGCGTATTTTCTTGACTGTGTATTGATACTTTGTTTTTCTGCGTACTTTCAATGTTTCGCCCAAAATCCGCCTGTAGGGGGGCATGCCGGACCTAATACCAGCCCAAAAGTCAAGCTGCGCAACCATACGCGCTCGTGTCATGGGATGTGGAGGGTGGCAAAAGGAGAGGGACTTGCTGACTCGATGGGCCTCGATATTAACTGAATCCCATGCTGCTCGAGTTTTCTGCCCTCGTCCTGTTTACAGCGATTGTGGCTCAAGTCGTCTCTGGCCTGCGCCCATTCAGCCGCGTGAGCCGCGCGGCCCGAGGTCGTAGCAAAGCTGCGGGCTGCCTCGGATCAATGGGCTGCGCTCCTTCGGGCAACAAGGCCGCGGAGCCAAAGAAGGGGGCCAGCAGTGGGAAGAAGAATGTCAGCGGCAAGGAGGTGAAGGAGGGTGGCATGGGCAAAGCACAGTTCATCATTGACAACACTGGCAAGATCACCGAGTTCTACCAAATCGAGAAGAAGAAACTTGGTGAGGGCTCCTACGGTTCGGTGAGCAGGGCAAAGAACTTGTCAACCGGAGCGATCCGCGCATGCAAGACGATCTCGAAGCATCGCATGTCGAATCCTGAACGGTTCAAAGCAGAGATTGCGTTGATGAAAATCATGGACCACCCGAACATCATCAAATTGCACGAGACATTCGAGGACCACAGGAACATATACCTGATCATGGAGCTCTGCTCTGGTGGTGAGCTCTTCGACCGAATTATCGATGCGGGGCACTTCACAGAAGTCCAGGCGGCCATCTTGATGCAGCAGATCATCCGGGCCATCTACTACATGCACGAGAACAAAGTGTGCCACCGGGACCTGAAGCCCGAGAACTTCCTGTTCACGACGAAAGAGCCGATAGACAAGAACACGCTCAAAATCATCGACTTCGGCCTGTCGTGCAAGTTTGAGGCCGGGCAGGTGCTGACAACGAAGGCGGGCACCCCGTACTACGTCGCTCCCGAGGTCCTCGCAGGGAAGTACGACCACATGAGCGACCTGTGGAGCTGTGGGGTCATAATGTACGTTCTCCTGTGCGGCTATCCGCCCTTCTTCGGCGAGACAGACTCGGAGGTCCTGGCCAAGGTGCGGCTGGGCAACTTCGCTTTCAACACGAACGACTGGAAGAACATATCCGAGGACGCCAAGGACTTGATCCGCGGGATGCTTAAGTTTAAAGCCAAAGAGCGCACCAGCGCGGAGCAGGCCCTAAACTGTGAATGGATCATAAACAAGGCCCCCAAGGCCAAGAACATCAACCTTCAGGAGAGCTTCGTCGACAACTTGCGCGGCTTCAGGTCCCAGAACAAGCTGAAGAAGGCAGCCCTCCAGATCATCGCGGGCCAGCTCAACGAGAGCCAGATCAAGAGCCTCCGCGAGACGTTCCAGGCCCTGGACAATAACGGAGACGGCTTCCTGACGGCCGTCGAGATGAAGGAAGGGATGGCCAAGGCGGGCCTCAAGGAGATGCCCCCCGATCTCCAGGCCATCCTGGACGGCATAGACGCCGACGGCAGCGGAAAGATCGACTACACCGAGTTCCTTGCCGCGACGCTGGACAAGAAGCTGTACCTGCAGGAGCAGCAGTGCTGGTCCGCCTTCCGCGTGTTCGACAGGAACGGCGACGGGCGCATCTCGCTGCAGGAGCTGAAGGACGTGCTGCAGAACGGGGAGGTGACCAACGCGTTCGGCGGGCAGGACATGGAGAGCCTCCTGCAGGAGGTGGACACCAGCGGCGACGGCGAGATCGACTTCGACGAGTTCATGGCGATGATGCGCAAAGGCACGGGGGCCATCGACACCGACAACAAGGACGGCAATCGCATGTGAGCAGGCCGTTCTCCTCCGCCTGCTGCTGCTCCTCGCCCTCGTCCCGTCGTGCCGTCCCTCTCTCGGCTTCTCCCTCTCTCTCTCTGTCCCTCGTCCTCCCCTCCCTCTCTTCCTCCGACTCCGGCTCCTACTGCCCGCCTCCCGCTCCCAACCTTAAGTCGGGCCTGTCCCTCTACAGGAGGAATATTCCAAAATAGTAAAAACATAGTCTGGGGACGATTTTTTGACTACTTTTGCCTGTCCATTGGGTGGATATGTCTTGAGTATTTGTGATTTTTCGCCCAAAATACCCCGGTAGGGGGACACGCACGACTTAATCCCGACCCCCGCTCGCCTTCCAAGACTTCGCCCAAATGAGCCGCCGGCCGGCCTGCCGACTAAGTTCGCACCTTGTCTGCGGAGGCTACCAGCCTCCACGCGGTGCCTTCAATGGGCACGTGCGGCCTGTCCAGAGGTGCGCGCACGGCACTGGCAATTGCATCGTCACGTTCCGTCTCATCCTCATCTTCATGTTCCTCTCATTGTGATTTTCGGGCCGGACGAAGGGGGGGGATTGGGAAAGGGGGGGTTACGAAATTTGCTGCATGCAGCTGGTCTCGGCGCCACCGAGGGGCCCATTCCTCGATACATGGAAGGCTCTGGCGCAGCTACGCGAGCTGATTCTCAAAGCCCCCCTTTGCTATCCCCCCCTTTCGCCCGGCCCGATTTTTTTTCGGAGTGTGTTCCATCTCCCGAACTTCGAACAGTCATCGAACGGACACCATCTCGAAACCACAGAAAAACAACAGGACATGATTTCCCATGCCATCGGGTGAGTTTCGGAGATCAACCCCAGTATCGCCTCGACGCGAGCAACATTCGGGACACAGCTGGGGCACCATCTAGACATCATCGGGACGCGGCACGAGATTTTATGGAAATATTGGAAGGCGCAGAGGTTAGATCATGGACACGCTGGCACCGCCAGGGCACCACGGAGATACCGGGGCACCGCACACACAGCCGTCCGACGGGAGCAGCAGGAGGAGGAGGAGGAGGCGGAAAGTTTGCCGCAGAAGCGCCCTTGTGAACAGAGCATTCGCCGACAGCTAGCACACACGTCACGCACGGCACGACACACGGAAACCCATGACAGATGATCCACTACCCGTTGCAGCCTTACCTTGCGAATCCGATGTACGTCGCCATCAGGGTTCAAGAGCCCCCAAGGGCTGTTGGACGCAGGCTTTTTCTCTTGCCAGGCATGGTTCGAAACATCGCCTTCGTTTTCATTAAGCCACATGCAGTCACAGAAAAAGTCAAAGAGCTCGTTAAGGAGACATTTGAAAAGCACGATATATCAATCAAGAAGGAGGGCTCTATAGAAGCGGAAGATATCGATAAGAAGCAGAAGATCGATAAGCATTATTATGCAATTGCGTCAAAAGCGACAATTCTGACCCCTGACAAGCTCGCTGTACCAGAAGACAAATTCAAGGAAAAGTTCGGCGTCGAGTGGCAGGATGTGTTGAAGGAGGGTACCGCCTTGAATGCATTGGACGCCTGTGCGAAGCTTGAGGTGGATGCTTCAGCGCTCGACTCCATGTGGGCCGCGTGCAAGAAGGCGGACCAGCTCGTCAAGTTTGGCGGAGGTTTTTACTGTGGCAAGCTGGGTGACGAAGGTAAGGGTGGGCCTTTTTACGTTTTCAACGGCTTCTTCATGTCCATGAGGTCGAAGTACGTGGAGCCTGGCGTGAGCATTTATTACTACGTCGTGGAGTGGGATTCGGAGAAGCTGAAGTGGGAGGACTTCCGTGGGCAAGTTCTCGGCCCCACCGACCCGGCGACCGCGCCCGCGGAGTCCCTCCGGGGGCTGATCTTCGCCAAGTGGCGGGAGTTCGACCTGAGCAGCGAGCCGAACACCGGGGACAACGGCGTCCACGCGAGCGCCTCCCCGTTCGAGGCCCTCGCGGAGCGGGTGAACTGGCTGGGGACCTCTGTGGACAAGGACCCGTTCGGCAAGCTGCTCCTCCGGGCGGGCATCCCCTTGGGCACCGTGAAAGACTGGTGCAAGGATCGGGAAGCCAACGTCGGCGGCCAGCCCAGGGAGGAAGTGAGAGGAGGAGGAGGAGGAGGAGGAGGAGGAGGAGGAGGAGGAGGAGGAGAGAGGAGAGGAGGAGGAGGAGGAGGAGTGGAGGAGGAGGGGGAGGAGGGGGAGGAGGGGGAGGAGGAGGAGGAGGAGGGGGAGGGGAGGAGGGGGAGGAGGAGGAGGAGGAGGAGGGGCGAGCCCGCCTCCTCGGTTAGGCTCGGAGGTGCCCCGGCCTCCTGCGCGAGGTGTCCTGGGCCTCCCCCCCTGTAGACGCGGCAGACTCCTCCCGCGGGCGCGAGGGGGTTCCGAGGAGTCCCGCCTTCCTCGCCACCTCGCCTTCGCCGCCTCCGCCTCCGCCTCCGCCTCCTCCTCCTCCTCCTCCTTCGCCTCCTCCTCCTCCTCCGCCGCCTCCGCCTCCTCCTCCCTTCGCCTTCGCCACCTCGCTCGCCGCCGGCGGGAGGCAGCAGGAAGCAGCAGCCTCCGGCCTGTCCGCGCGGGTGTCCCGGGTGCAGCGCTGGACCTCCGTCGGCAGTGCTTCTCCGTCACCACCCCCAGGCGCGCTTCGCTGCTGGCAATACTTATATCCATATCCAGAGCGTCTTGGGTTTTTTTGGAAAGGGTGCCGCAAGGCCGAGGCGCACTGGATATGGACAAAAGTTGAGCCTTCGGGGACAATCATTTTGTCCATATCAAGTTCGCCTCTGGTTTCTGGGGGAGAGAGCCCCGAACTCCAAGACGCACTGGATGTGGAAATAACTATTGCCCGCATTCGCTGGCCAGTGAGAGAGGCTCGCTTTGCATCTTCGGGGGGCCTCGTCTGTCCCCAAAGTTGCTGTCGCTTCTTGCGCCCGAGGCGGGCTCGGTGCGGAATCGACGCGGATTTGGCGCGGATGCGACGCGGATTCGACACGGGTTCGACATTGATCCGGCGCGGATTCGACGATTCTTACATGGATTCGGCACGGACTCGCACGGATAAGGGCGCGACGGGACAGACAAGGTCTCCCGGCCCAGCGCCGACCCAAGAAATCCGCTCGAGGTTCCGCAAGCTTATTCACCTCGCATTTACCACCACCATTGCCGTAGGTAGGAGAGGGAGGACGAGGAGGAGGAGGAGGAGGAGGAGGAGGAATAGAGGAGAAGGAGGAGGTGGGGGAGGAGGTCGAGGAGGAGGAGGAGGAGGAGGAGGAGGATCAGGAGAAGGAGGACCTCCCCATCCTCCAGTCTCCCCCGTCCTACCTATGGTAGCGGCGGCGGTAAATTGGTCCATTACCTTGCGTTCAGACCATGTCTTCCCTCTGCAAGGACCCACGGGTTATCTCAAGGGCTTCGCCCTCTGCCGTGCGGCCTCCCGCGGAAGAGCTGCAGTCAGAGCGAGGAAGCAATGAGCGCCTCTGGGTTCGGGAAGGACTCGCGTGTAAGGGTCATTCCGTAGATGTACCCTGAGATCCTGGCGCTGCATTTTTTTCACAAGTGGCGTTTTCGCTCGATTTCGGGCCCCAGGACCCTCACAGATCGATCAGGCTCGAAATCTGACGCAGAAAGATGGGGTCCAGGGCTCCGGGCGTGATTCTCTGCGATGTTGCAATCGTTGATTTGGCAACGTCGGATCTCAGGTTATGCCGTGGACCTTCTACGTGGCGAGTCCATCGAATTATGCTGTGGACGATGTCCGTTCCTTATTCCGCGTATCTTACAGTAGTACGACTCTATAGGCTTACGCCACATCCGCCTACCCCTTAACTGAATTCAAGGTTTTGATGGTGTCTTTCGGTGTTTGGAGGGTTCACGTCGCGCAGTTGGCAGGCCTTTCAGTGCAGAGGCAAGTGCCAGAGGAAATTGCCGAAGTCGACTTTCTCCGTGGACGCGAGCCATGTCGCGCGCGCGTGACGAGAAGAAGGGCACCTTGAAATGCAAGGCATGCGAATGATACCAGTAGGGCGTCCGTGCAATGGCCCGTAGAAGTAGGAGCAGCGGGGGTGCGAGCGAGAGGGAGGACGAAGCCGATGAAAAGAGGAACGCAAAGAAGGTGAAAGCAGAGAAGGAGGAGGAGCAGGGGGAAGATGGGGGAGAGGCGGAAGGGGAGTCAAAGAAGAGGAGGAGGAGGAGGAGTCACGATTTGGTCATGAAGCGTCACGGGGGCGTCTTGGAGGTAGTGTATGGGCCTCTTCGGGATTGTCTTGGAGCCTGTTGGGGGCCTATGGGGCCTCGCTTGGGGCTCCCTGGGACCCTCTTGGGAGGTTCTTGCAGCAGGGTGAGGGAACTTCGGAGCCAAAGGACCAAAAAGCTGCCCTCCCGGATCCCTCTTGGAGCCCTCTGGAGGCCCTCGTGGATTTTGTGCGCTTCTTGGGCCGTCTTTGGGCCCTCTTGGACCTCTCTCGGCAGTTGCCGAGGCCGTCCTGGGAGGATATGGAAGGTTTCATGGCCCTTGTCGGACGTTGCGAAACCGCAAGAGGCCAATACGGTAAAAATGAACGTTTTACGAAGGGAGTGAGACGATTTCTGCTTCTTGGGGCTCGCTTGTGACGCCTCTTGGGGCCTCTTAGGTCGTCTTCGGGGCTTCGGAGGCTGCCCGGAAGCCATCGTGGGCGTCTTGGAAGGATATTTCGGCGATTCGTCGCCCTCTTAGACGGTAAGGGAAGCGTTTTGGTGCCTTCTTGGCTCGTTTTTGGGCCCTCTGTTCCCCCTATGACGCGTTCGGTGGTGGGTCGTGCCGGGCGGGGGGGGGGGGGTCAATTGCCAGTTTGGGGTCCCAGGGGGGGGGGCGTAAAGGGGGGGGGAGAATCTCACAAACCTAGAGACCCACAAGGGGTCCGCGGATTATTATACGGCCGCGCCGACCAGTGGGCCCCCCCCTCGTTTGCCTGGGCCGGTGGTTCTCCAGTGGCCCCCAGGAAGTCGACACAACATCTACGTCACCCTATAACGCAAG